TATAGCAGCCATTCCTTCACAATTTTGGAAGTGTGTTTTGGGTCGTTATCCTGTTGAAAGATCCAGTTCTCTGATAAGCCCAATTTATTAACACTCGGGGTAACATTGTTCTTTAAAATGGTTAAATAGTCCATTTTGTTCATTGTTGATTCTATAAAAATTAGATTACCGACCCCTGACGCCGCCACACAGCCAGACCATCAGCACAGTATATATAACAGACAGTACTCTCACTCAGTGGCGGCACGTTTGATGTGGCGAATTGATTTTCAATGACCTCGAAGCCATTATTCTGGCATAAAACACAACAGGTCCGCATTAAAAATATTTAAAACGTCGAAAATATTAAATTAAAAAAGTTATTCGCAATTAAATTTCTGAACTGATAAAAACATTAGTTATTGAGTTATATACTATACAGGGTGTATCAGGTATGAGTAGAAAAAATTTGAGGGGTTATAGGTCTTCTCTTTCTGAATAAAAAATTCTTATAACACAATTTCCCATTCTTTGCTATTCTTAAGATATGATATGATAAAGTTAAGGGTTTGAAAGTTTAAGTACTGTTGTATAAAGAATTATATTAAGCACGCTTTGTTTATGTAATATAGCTTCAATTTGACACATAAAAGTCATTTTTGAGATATTTTTTTAAAGGTTGTTTACTTTATAGCAATAAATTTATCACTTCTGTTTTATTACTCTTTAATGTGAAAATTTACAAACATTTAAGTTTTAATAAATAAACTCGCTTATTCTATTAAAAACAACAAATTACAAACTGCAAAGCACAGCCTGCTTAGTATAATTCATTAACCAGTAGTACTTAAACTTGTGAACCCTTAACTTTATCGTATCATATCTTAAGAAGTACAAAGAATGAGGCATTGTGTTATAAGAATTTTTTATTCAGAAAGAGGAGACTTATAACTCCCCAACATTTTTCTACTCATACCTGATACACCCTGTATAACTAATAACGTCATTATTTATAATGTTTAATATTTTATTTTAATTTTTACACTTGTCGTTACGGCTCTGCACAAAAGCAAACCTCACAGACACACTGGCGATTAGCAAGATTTAAACCAGCGTAAAGGCCGCTCGCCTGCGTAATGAGGGCTGCGCATATCTTGCCGCCAAACCGAATGGAAGTACTGTCTGTTATATATACTGTGATTTCGGTTTAGCCGTCTTGAGTGTTAGTGTTAGTTCTAGTATTGCACTAGCACTATCACTAGAACTAACACAAGACCTAGAACTAGAATCATTCGGGTTTAGCCGTCTTGAGAGACGTGCGGCTAAATCCGTATGTTTCTAGTTCTAGGTCTAGTGTTAGTTCTAGTTTTACACTAGTACTATCACTAGAACTAAAACAAGACCTAGAACTAGAATCAAGCTAAACTGGAATGTTTCTAGTTCTAGTTTCTAGTTCTATGGAGTTAAGTGGAGTTGATCCTCACAAAAGAGTAATAAAAATGAATAGTTGGAAAACGAAGAAGAGCCAGGCCAAGGATGAAATGGGAAGAGAGAGTGCGCAAAAGAGGAGGAATTTGCATAAAGTGAAGAATATTGCAAAAAACAGACGTAGTTTTTGAAGATGGCATCTAGAAGAAAAGATAAAAAAGAAGAACATAAAGAAAACCAATAATAACATTGACAAGACATAATTTATTTTCACAAAAACTATTAATTAAACAAAAATAACACTTAAACATTATTTTTTCTTGAATAACAGCCAGGTTCTTCTCCGCTACTACCTGACGATGAAGTATAATAAGCAATCCAATTATCATAAAAAACTGTTTCATTAACAATACTTTGCGGTTTAACAATCCTCTCGGGATACTTTTTATAAATACATTTCGATTTAATATCATTAGCGTATCGGCACAAATGTAATTCACCGATACTAACACTACATTTACATCTTATTTCACCATCGGAAACGCTTTCTTCAAGAAGTGATCGATCATCACTTATCGTACAAGAAGAATCAGTGGTTAATTTAGGTGATTTTTTAAGCCTCCGATTACACGTATTCGTATTCGATGACATCGTTCGTTCTGACGCCGTTTTGTAACCTTTTTCTTCCACCCAATCTGAATGATGTTGTTGTGATAATATCGCCGAATTACAAGCGGGGATTGATTTAAATCCTTTTTGATTACAATCACGCGGGATTTGTGAAGTTGTTCGTTCTAATGTTGCTTTACAACCATTTTCCTCAAACCATTTCGAATAATGATTTTGAGGTAAAGTTAAAGAATCACCAGAAGGAACTATTTTTGATGAATTTTGATTATGGTAAGGTTTAGATTTGTGTAATTTTGGTAGTGGTTTATTGATACAACATGGGGTATCATTTTCAAGGTAATATCTTTCTTTTATTTCATTATTAATCGTGTTTGGTTTTTTTGTTTTTAATTGAGGTAAAATTTGTGGTGAATGTTTAATTTCGTTTAATTTAATTGTTTTTATGGAATCTTCTTGTGATACTTGAGTGGCAACATCACGGCCTAAAACGTATTCACTTTCGGTTGATTCTTCACTTTTATTCGGTGATAATTCGTTATTTAAAGTATTCGTTAAATCATCTTTAGGAGTTGAAACATTTTTATCGATTATATCGTCAGTTTGAGTTGTTGTGGAAACTAAAATGTTACGTTCTTCAGCATCGATTTTTGATTTTAATTTTAATTTTAAAAGTTCCTCATCTAAATTTATATGAGTTGTTTCGGGTGATCTAATTTTTTGATCTAAAATTGTCAACGGTTCAAGCAACTTTAAAAGATCTTCTTCGAAACTCAATTTTTTCTTCGTACCTTCATCACTGGATGTACTACGTTTTCTAATTGAAGTTTTTAATGATTCATCAACGGATGTTTTTGTATCTATTAAATTTTGATCCTCTTTTAAATAAAGTTTTTGATTAATTTCTTTTACAATTGGTGGTGGGATAAAATTAGAATTTCTCGATTTCGTTTCTGAATTTGACCCTTTTGCTATTTCAACCGGTTCATCTTGTTTTATGGGCATACTTTTTGATTTTGACGCTGAGGAATCCTCCGATGTATTTCGAACAATATCATTCGGTATTAGGCCACAAATACAAGATTGTCTCGAATTACCCGGTTTCATTGAAATGCTAGAAACGAATTCGTTATCCGAATCATCTGGAGTGTGAGTAAAAAACTCGTTAAGATAAGTTATTTTATTTTCGCATTTTAATGGACTTGATGATCTCGATCTGCAAGGTGAAGCAGAAAGAATTTGATTTTTACATGAATTTGTTGAATTTGTTTTTGAGCAACTTGGTGAGGAAGGATTCGTTGAAACTTTACATTTCAAAGGACTTGGAGATCTAGATCGACAAGGTGTGACGTTTTTAGATTTCGAAGGACTAGTTCGATCAGAACTTTTATTTTTTCCGTTTATTTCTTGATTAAGATGCATCGTAACTGTTTGAGATAACGATAAATTCGGGGTATCACTTCTTCCCGATTGTTTATTGCTTTTAGCGATATCTTTTATGGTGTTATGTTTTACCTCCTGATATCCTACGTTTGTATTTTTAGGCGTATTTAATTCAAAACTACCGCTTGGTTTAATATTAATTTTACATAACGTTTGCATCGTTAAAGATGGTCTAATATCGATTTTTGGCATATTTTGCACTTTTAATTTTGATTCTTTTTTGTTAACTACGTTATGAATGATTTTTTCGGATTCCTCGATTTCCGTTCGTTCTGAAATCGTATTTAAATGAAAATCGTTGAAGTTTTCGCTTATATCGTCTAATGATTTATCTTCTTCTAATTCTTTCAGTTCGGAATTTAAAGGACAAGTACAATCTGATTCGGTGTTGCAATCAGTGTCAGTTTGATTTCCAATTGATTTGATTAAACCACAAAAATTATCCTCATCTTTTGGCAAAATATCGTATTCGCTGCAATCTAACGATTTTGATTGATTCGATAGAAATAAAATTCCTGCATCTTCTGCTTTTCTGATATAATCTTTTTCTGGTCTTTGTGGATCAGTGTTAACTTCGGCGTTAACCATCACTGGAAGAGGGCAACATTGCACCATTTGATCTTTTGACACAACTTTTTCGTTACTCATAGATGTGCCACAATCTAACAAAACTTTCGGTGTAACCTTTTCGGGTAAATTTAATTGAGATGAACATTCCGATTTTTCAATACTTGAGCATGAAAATTGAATTAAAGGTTGTTCGAGGATCTCATCGATACAACATCGCGCAGCTAATTGAGGACTAGGTGGCGGAGCTAAATCGGTGTTTTGATAAAATTCATTTTTTAAAGCTTTTAATGATTGTTCCGCTTTGTCGATAAGTTCGTCAACTTTCGATAAATTTTCTTTTTGTTGGTCCAAGTAATCAAATTCCATAGATTTATCAACAAGGAGTAAATCTAACGATTTTTTTGGATTATCGACCGACTGATCTTGCGTTTTCAATCCTGCTGTTTCGGTTTGTTGCTCGGATTGCTCAATTTTTTTCTCGTTCATTTGGGTTTGCTGATCAACCCTGCAATAAAGAAATTATCAATAAACAAAATTAGAATTTATTTAAAGTTAATATTAATTAAAGCTTTTTGGTAAACTAAAAAACTAGTGCTTTGTCATCACAAATATTTAATTTTTTTTATGGCACAATAAAATTGAATCTTAATTCAGAAAATCAAAGATGCTTACTGAAAAGAATTTGTCCTGGTCAACTTATAAAAATAAGCAAACCAGAAATCTGAAAGTGGTCGCTAAAAAGATGCATAAAAGCTGTATTGGAGCGCAATTATAACATTTATAAAGTAACCCAAATGTTAAAATACAAAACAAAAGGGCCTGTTTTTTTGTACAATCTTGGATTTTGCACCATCAGAGGATGTAAAAAAAATCCATGAAATAACAAACATATTAGGAATGCGTGTCAAAATCGAAGAGTACAGAAAGCCAAAACGAATGCCAAAGTGCAAAAGGTGTCAAGGTTGGAGCAACACCAAAGCTTACTTACACAAAAATCCGAGATGTGTTAAATGTGCTGGTGAACACTGGACCAACGAATGCACTAAAGCCAAAGAAATCCCGGCTAAATGTTTCAACTGAGGATGCATTGTGATTAAGGAACTACAAGCCATCAGGAATAAGAAAACAGTACGTAGAGCATTCGATTCTTCAATTCCACTAAACAAGCCTTGTGTGCTAAGAGTGGTTCATCTCTTGATAATGTAATGGCGGTAGTCACAAAAATAATCAACCTCATCTCGTCGGAGGTTTTAAACAGGCGAAAGTTCGATGCTTTGTTAGATGAAGTCAATTTGGTGTATTTGGTGAAGTCAATAGGCTATCTCGGAAACTATAAGAGTTAGAAAGAAAGTAGCTTACATGTCATGATTTCGTTTTTCCAGAAACTGCTAATGCCAAAAACCTCAAAGCGCTATCGTCTTTTGTTTTTCCCCTAGAGGCCAAAATTGAAAATGTCGTAAAATCAGCAAATGCAATTATCTTGTTTATTATTATAGGTGGAGTATTATAACTCAGACACTATATGGACACTTTTTTACAGAGAATCTGATGACGTAGTCAAAAAAATTTTTTCGGTTTTAGATTTTGAGATATTATGACAATTTTCGTTATTTTATATGGAAACAACCACTGATTATTCGCTTATTAAATTCGTTATCTTTTTCTGATTACAAAAATATGGGGTTAGATAGGTCTATTTCTTATTGTTTTAGAATAAAGCTAAAAATAAACTTTCTTTTTAGTGTCGTCAATGAAATTAAATTTACAGTTTCCTGTAAATTACGGTACTATAACTAAAAATTATTCTACTAAAAATTTATATAAAATTTACTTTATTTTCTAATATGTAACATTCTAACATGTTAAACTTTTCATAATTTTCGTAATCCATCTTAAAAAACAGGATTTTTAATTTGACACTTCAGAAAATTTTTGAATACAAACAAATGTTGCTATGTTTATTTGAATTAAAAAATATATATGTATATGAGCGCCATCTATAAATAATTTATTAAGTCATTTAATAATAATATTAAATATTAATAAAAAACGTGAAATAATCTATTCCCACTGTTGTGTAAAACAAATCTAAATTCCATTGTATTTGTTTCAAATATCAGAAATATGTTTTTTTTATTGTTAGTTATAATTTACAGGAAACGGTAAATTTAATTTCTTTGACGATACTAAAAAAAAGTTTATTTTTAGCTTTATTCTAAAATAATAAGAAATAGACAAGTCAAACCCTATATTTTTGTAATCAGAAAAAAATAATGAATTTAAAATAATCAGTGGTTGTTTCCATATAAAAAAACGATAATTGTCATGATACTCATGATATCTTAAAATCTAAAACCGAAAATTTTTTTTTGATTACGTCATGAAATTCTCTGTAAAAAAGTGTCCATATAATATCTTAGTTATAATACTCCACCTATAATAATAACCAAAATAATTGCACTTGTTGGTTTTACGGTATTTTCAATTTTGGCCTCTAGGGGAAAAACAAAAAACGATAGCGCTTTGAGGTTTTCGGCATTAGCAGTTTTTCGAAAAACGAGATCATGACATGTAAGCTACTTTTTTTCTAACTCTTATAGTTCCCGAGTTAGCCTATTCGGACATCGAATTTGAACCACCCTGTACAATGCCTTACTGATGTACAATAATGTTCGCTGGTTGAGTCGCGAGAATGTACTTCAAAGATTTGTTAATTGCTTGGAAGAAATCAGACTGTTTCTGCAAAATGAAGGAAAAGTTGAAGAATACCCACAGTTGTTGGATGTTATGTGGCTTTCAAAATTGATATTTTTTACAGACATATGCCAACATTTATAGCTATTAACATACCAAGAAATGTTATAACATTTATTACAGCGGCAGATGTTATGTTTAAGACATCTAAGGCTGTAATGTATCATAACATCGAGGTTTGTTCAATAGTTTATCGGTTTCAGGCGACCACCTTCGCATTTTCATGACTTTAATGCGAACAATAGTAAATCAAAAATTCATTTGCAACTTTTCCGTAAAAGTCAAAGTCGCACCAAAGTCATATACAAGTTTGTTGCTAGGTAGTTACAAAGATGTTACTTAAGGTACTTAGGTACTTAAGGTACTTAGGTACTTAAGGTACTTAGGTTTATTAAATATGTAGCTTCTTTTCCTGTATTGTAAAAATATAACATTACCAATATGTCACTTTTACATTACCGATATGTCATTTTTACATTCCTAATACAGTTATAAGGTACATTACAAACCAACTTTTGTGAATGTTAAGAACCTTCTTACAGCCTGAAACCGGTAAAATAAGTTAATGAAGCTTCAAGGCATAAATAAAACAATTATCGTCATGGTAAATCTCATTCGCGCTTTTGAGACTAAACTGCAAGTTTTCAGGAACGATATTATCACAAGAAACTACAAGTATTTTCAAAATTTGAAAAAATATATCAACGATTAATACATGAGAAACCAGACGAAGACCAAGTTATTGGAGAATTTATTTCTGTGATTGATTCTTCAATCAGGACAATAATATGACAATATTTATCTATATTATGGGTGAAGCAGACTGGACTTAATTTGGTGTTAAAAATAAGTAACTAATTAGTATGTATTTACTAGGTGTTATACAATAAAATTGTGCTATGCATAATATAGAACAAAAAAAAATAAACAAAATTAGAATTGATTTAAGGTTAATATTAATTAAAGCTTTTTGGTAATGTAAAAAAAAGTCGATTACACATTGAATATTCAGTTTTATTTCACATCAAGTAACAGCGGGATTGTACAAGCTTTTTTCTTCATTAAACATACAAATTATGCCAGTTGATTTAATCAACAATCAAGTTACAAAAAACTGACATTGTCAATACGATATTAAAACTGTGCTTTGTCATCACAAATGTTTAATAATATATTTATCATAATATTGATTTTTATTATTTTTGTTTCGGCATTAAGAACGCTCGGTATAATACACGCGCCCCCCCCAAAAATTCTATAAGTTAATTTTTTTCAATATTATACACGAGACTTAAATTTCTACGCGACAATAATAACGATCTTGTGAGAAGGTAAATAAAGCAAAAAAAAGGGAGGAGGAAAGTTCTACAAGAAAGATTTAGAACATTACCAAATAATTCTATAAACGAGTTAAAAGACGACCTAAATCACTTTCTTTTCAATAAGAACAATAAAATATTAAAGATTGCTTCAAATAGTTGTTACAAGATTAGTAATATTTACAAAGTCCTTTATGTGATGAAAAGTAGGCGAGTTCTTTTTTTGAAAGGTTTGTTTAAAAAGAACAAGTTATTAAAAATTCAAATTCTTTATCATCGTAGCTTATCAACTATCTTTCTAAACAAAACGTTCAAAAAATGTCGACCTTGGACAAAGTCAAGGAGATACAAATATACAAGTTTTTTTTATTAAAAATGTTCTTTCTCTTTATCAAGGATTTTTAAATGTCGATATCTTCCTTAAAATTTACCAGCGAGTTTTGGAGTTCCTATGATGAAGCGCTCGAAGCACTTCATGATTTGACTAGGTTTTTACCTTCCGATTAACAAATAAAATATGTAAGAGTAAGGGAAACTAAGAAATCGTAGAAAAACAAATCGTTTTTTCGACTGAATTCATCGGAATATGATCGTTTTAAATTTTAGGTTATGTAAGTTATATTTATTTACAGAATTTGGAAATAAATCTGGTGGTATATATCGAGAGATAAATATCAAAAAGAACTCAAATATATGTAAAATACATTTATATATGTACTTATATAATTGTGCGTATATTTTTATTATCACTTAAAAATTACTTTGTACACTTAAAAAGGAGATATTAATATAGCGAAAAATTAGAATATTTACAAGTATTTACAAGAATTAAAAAGTACACAGAGAAATCAAAAAGTTAAAGAAACCATGTAATATTATCAATAAAAATAATTCTAATTAATCAAAAAAACAATGAACACAAATAAAAGCTGTTTTTTTCACAATATAATTGTTTATTACAAAAAAAAAATAAATTCTCGTTCCAGCATAAAATTGTGTATCCTTGCTTTCCTTCAGCTAACGAAAACTGCTTATTTACAAGTACAATTCGGCGATATTTAGCCTTTCGTTTGCGTGAAACGGTCCATAGACTGTCTAAACCTTTATTTTTATCATAATTCGGTACGGTTAATTACACAAGTTCTTCCCCACGCCGTTTGGCTAATCTCCAGGGGAAGAAACAAAGTGCGTTCAGAAACAAATGTATTCGACCACAGCCTCTACCAAGTTTGCAAATCCTGCCCTCCAACGACCAACAGACCAACAACAATCGCGCGCCCAGCTCCCAATATTACAATTTCTGGATACGTCGCCCTTTAAGGGCTTGTCAACTGAGCCAACGTTATTACCTTCGGCCCCATTAAGACTCCCTTTCCTTCTTCACCTTATGGTCCTCCCCTAAGATCGTCGCTATTTCACCTTGCATAAACGCCCATGGTATACTCGAATTAGCCAATGGACATTTCTCCCCACTTGGACAATAAACCTTGAAAAATAATTACGTTTAAATTATAATTTAATTTATTTATTAAAAAATAAAATACCTCTGCTCCAGCTCCTTGGCGTTTAATGCTATCTCTACTGCAAGGGAAGCAAAATTTATGGTGTGGTACAGAAGGGCATTGCACGAAATGAGTGTCTTCAAGCCTTTCCTGGCACAAGGTGCATTTAAGTGTCTGTGTCGGAGCAGGAGTAGTAACATTTTCCCCGGCAGGTGTAGTTCCTTCGTTGACGGGTCCACCTAAGGCCCCAGCTGAAACATCGGTTGACGTAACTGTGGTAGAAGAGACATGTCTCGAGCCAGACGATCGACGACTACTCGTAGATCCTAACGGAAACGTTCAAGATTGTAGAAATTGCAAAAAAGCAAAAAAAAAACCTACCGCTTGAATTTGGCGAATGCTGCGAGCCTCTAGATGCCGATCTCGGCGCTACAGTACTAGGAGGACTACCACCGGCAGATCTCGGACTCCCCGGCGGTAAATTGTCGGCTGCAGAAATTAAGGCAGCCATTGGATTTTGTCCCAAATTCGCACTACTACTTTGTGATTGTTGTGTACTACCTGTGGTATTAGCCTCCGGGGGCGAAACAGTTCTGTTGCTTAAAGGCGAACTAGAAGTGGTACTATTTCCGCTTGCCACAGAAACCGGAGCTGTGTATCCTAAAAAAATTTCTATTTAATCTAGCCCTAATATTTACAACCAACAGTGATTCCAAAACCCGGAAGTTAGAAACAATGCGTCAGCAACGTGACGTTGTGCAGCGGCTGCATAATGTGGTGTAATTGGCCTTGAATCAAATTTAGCCAAGCGTCTGCCATGTTTTCGTTTCGTGTCTGTTCGGTAGAAAAACAACGAGAAGTTGACGAAGGTTACGCATGAACGTGTGTAACATACAATAATATCAACACAAATATTGTTTTTAATGTATCCAAATTCTTTTAAAAACTATAAAAAATTGCTCACAAAAATGTAAATTATATACTGCGTATATAGAAATAACATAGTAGTGAGTTAGCGAACGGCGCAATATTCCAAGAAAAATTGGAGCACGTCTGCGTCGTGCCGTTTAGAGTTCATTCGTTCAGGCAGTTTTCCAACGGCACTCGAAGCCGTCTGTCCCACGTGACCTCGATATGCAGCCGTGACGTAGTAGGCGGCGTCGACGTTCGTGCGCTTTCGTGTGGATTCGAGACGAGGAATGCGTGACACGGGCGATTTTGCTCCGGCGCGTTACGTATTTTTAACACGGGCGGAAATAGCGTCACCGCGCCTCGTTGCCAAATGGCAATAAGACGTTGCCAAATTGTCATTGTACGCGATGAGAGAATAAACCGTTCGTCGAGACGACGCGGTTGACTCATACGAATCACGATCAATTTGAATAATACAATGAGAATGAAGGACTTTTTATCAGAACCGCCAACTCGTCTACATATTTTTTTTTTAACTTTTGAATTACGTCTCGCATATTTTTTTTTATGGCTTATTCAAGGATATATGTATAAATGGTATGGTATGGAGTAGGGTGGTTTTGAACATGTTATTAAACTGACCTTGGCTTTGAGATAAGGTTTCAGGCAAACATAATTATGTTTGCGGATCATTAATTTCGCATAGGGGCAACAGGTGCGACCACTTTCCGAAGAAGCAGGTGGACAAACGTCCGCAGGCAGATGTTACACAGGATATTTTTGCCACGAAATTGTACTGTTGTCGGAAGGTCAGAGAAAGGAGAAATTACCTCAATGTCGAACACGGGATGACCTTCAGGTTTCTTTCTCACGACCCAAACGACTATCTCAAGCTCTTTCGGACAGATTACAATAGCTATTATTCCACGCCGTCGTTACTCAATACCGTTTGAATGACGGATAGACCCGACTCAGGTAGGTTCTTTTTTTTCAACGGAACAGTTGTGTGATAAAAGATTTTTAAAAACCTTTCTCTTTCAGGTAGAATACAAACTATTTATATTTACAAATATAAATAGTAATTCCTGTATTTGGATTAATATGAATTATATGTAAATTGAACTTCATGGAATAACTGTATAGGTTAATGAACCTATTCTTTGGTTGGCTTTCGAATCGCATATTTTATATGGTTTAATATTAAAAATATTGATGGTGTTACTTTGACTGCATTGTCACCAACTTTAAAACCTCGTGTTACAAAACTTACTACGCTATCCGGTTGTATCGCGTTTTTAAGATGGCAGCCGCGAAAGCCGAGACTGTGACGTCAACGCTACGTTTACTACGGAGGACGTCAGCGTGAAGACGGGTTTCAAAGAGGTGGGACAGAAAATGAGGAGAGGAGAGATGGCAAGATAGAAGCGACCAAGACAAGACCGGTCTAACCGGCCTCGCAGAAACCGGTTTCGAGAGCACGCGATCGAGCTTCGCTTTGGTGACGTCAGACGACGCCGGGCAGCGTCTCCTCGATCGATGCGCCGCGGCGCCTCGACCGCAGAAGAAAGAACGCGTGTTTAGGTTTCGGACGCAAATTGACCTTGGATGATTACTAAATCGAATCGCGGTTTTTGGCATCACTGCTGAATGTGTTTCTTAGAAAATATAATCTCACCATTAGGTTTAAAGGCTGTGGCTGTATCAAATGAGGCAGTCCTCAATGGATGTTTCTCTTGCTTGAATGTTCTTTCGGCTGTTATAGCAAATGGTTGGGCTAGTGAGACCGCAGGAAGGGATTCCCCACGAGTCAGAGGAGGACGTACGGCGGGTCCGCTGTGTTCCTCAACCGTTAACATTCTCTTAGCGCCGTTTACATCACTTACGCCGTTAGCGTGATGTAGTCCATGATTGTCATCGTCGTCGGCGGTGGAGAGGCCCCTCTTGAGTCCCTGTTGGATCCCAGAGGAGCGTTGATTTCCAGGATGATGATGATGAGATTGTAGGGAGTGGTGAGTAGCAGCACCGAGGTGTGTCGATGGTAATCTGACGGCAGTCCTAGCTACTAAAGCTTCGTGCTCTGTTGTGGCTTCTTGAAGAGGTCTTGCCATGGAGGTGGCACCTCTCGGTGGAGGAGGAGGTTGAGTACCTTGGTATTCTGTTAAAATATTAGTTCTCGAGTGATGAACGTTGTAGCTATGATGAGCCCCTGCGGCTTGTTGTCTGCTAGACGTAGCTACAACATCCCCGTTTTGGTGGTCTGGTCCACCGGCTAATTGTCTATGAGACTTCGAAGTAGGATGTGACGATCTCTGTTCTTGGAACCCATGGAGCCTCTTCATCTGCCTCGCGGTCTCCAAAACAATTTCAATCCTATCTGCACCTTCATAATTAACGCAGCCACGGCATACAGCCTCTGAGAAATCGTGGACCATGGCCCAAGGCATTCTGGGCAGATCACAAAGATAACAGTGCTGCCGCTTCGCCTGCTGCATTTGCATCACCGACATCTTCACCATTTATTCGATCTTGTAAAGTTCAACGAAAACGCTACCAGCACATCACTCGCGGATCACTGTCCATCTCGCGCCGTTGCAGCACACTAAACAACCCTGGAGAATTTCGATCGTGAAACCGACCCGAACAAAGGCTGCGCTCGTACTGGTCCGCTAGCAGCAGCGGCGTACGCTCCAACTGTCGGAGACGACGCGAGGGGGCGCTGCGGCGTTTACGACGCGCGAAACAGTAGCGTATCGATCGTGACGTCACATGTCGCACCGAACCAATGGCGGCCGCCGCGACGTCACACGATGCGCGCGCCTCCTCCGGTAAAAGCGATTATTGTCACCGTTAATTGTAGTGACCTGGATTTGGGAGTATAACGCGAATCGCGTTGCGAAAGAAAACGTCTGAATAACCTTTCTAAAAATTACTAATTCACCTTGATAACGAGAAATTTATTATTATATTATTATTGCTGCCGGGCTATAAGACCACGACCTATAAGACCTATCGTAACTTTAGCCCTCCATAAATGTAGGTCCTTGATGAACCTTAGTATTACCCTAAGGTCTTGAAGCTTTATCTCGGTAGGTGTCGAAGGAGATTTACTGAAAATTTTGTATCTTAGACGACGCAATTGCATAGTATATGTTCAGCTGTTTCTGACTCATCATTGCATAATCGACAAGTTTGATCCTCAGCTTGTCCAATTTATAAAATAGGTATTTATTCCGGCCCAGGGCAAATACCCAAACTGTACATACAGTGTGTCCTTAAAGTAACGGATTAGGCGATAAAATCATTATGAACGGTTTATGGAAAAAATCCTAAAGGTGTAGGTTACAAATTTTTTCTGCCATTTTTAAGCGAGTTATGACGTCATCGATATTTTTGTCAAATAGCAATCCCCCATTTTTATTGCGGTAGTATATGAAAGAAGATGTTTTTCTGAATCTAGTACAGTCAATATTAATATTCGTTACATAAGAAAATTTTCAAGAAAAATTACTTTAAAGTTTAATTACTTCAAATTTGCTTGACATGGAAAAAATAGCAGTAGCCATCAGTAACTATGGTAACCAATCATTTTAAACAATTCTCTAAGTTTTATAAGTGTCAAACACTGATTTAGTAAAGCTTGTTGTTTCTTATAGCACTGATTTAAACTGTTCTTACATCACTTTTGAGTTAATTTTTGTTTATTGTTTACTTTTATTTGTTTTCGCTGTTAATTTATTAAAATGGCACATTTGACCGAGTGGGAAAGAATAGAAATTCTGTGTTTGATTGGAATTGGGGATCGAACTGGAACTCAAAAAGAAGTAGTAGAGCTCTTTGATGCAACATATCCTGACCATGAACCCATAAGCCAAAGTACGGTAAGCCGCATTGTCACTAACTTTAAAAATCATGGGCATGTACGGGATCTCTCGAAGTCGTACAAGAAAACCCTCATATTACGGTAAGGGATATTGGGTCGAATCGGCCATAAGTAAAAAAACGGTTCACAAAATATTAAAAATCGCAACATATCATCCCTATAAGATAAACCTCATTCATGAGCTCAATGAAGATAATTTTGATAGAAGATCGCAATTTTGTGAGCAGTTGCAACAATTGTGCAAAGACGACGAAGATTTCGTTAAAAATATAATTTTTTTCCGATGAGGCAACATTTACATTGAGTGGGCAAGTTAACAGGCAAAATTGTCGGTATTGGGCTACCCAAAATCCACATTGGGCAAGAGAATCGCATACCCAATATCCGCAAAAGATTAGTCTTCCAACAAATTGAACGGCCTGCAAGATCACCTAATTTGACTCCGCTGGACTTCTTCCTTTGGGGATATCTGAAGAGTAAAGTTTATACCACTAGACCAAGTACTTTGGATGAACTAAAAATCAGAATGCGAGAAGAAGTTCAGCGAATAACTCCTGATATCTTAGAGAATTGTATTCCGTAATAAAAATGGGGGATTGCCGTTTGAAAAATATATCGATGGCGTCATAACTCGGTTAAAAATGGCGGAAAAAATTTGAAACCTACACCAAAAAGTTGCAAAAAATTTAAACCTTTAGACCCGTTTCAGGGTTTTTTTCATAAACCGTTCATAATGATTTTATCACCTATATCCGTTACTTTACGGACACACTGTATAAAAGTGATACAAGTAAGAATATAACAGATTTGGAAAAAAATGTAGAGGAACATGATGAAATGGGCGTTGAAGACGAGGAATTGTCAAAGATCGAAGACGTATTATAATCAGGCAACCACTGCTCATTCTTCATTCTTGCGACGATGATCCACCCAGTTCCACTTGAGCTTTGCCATAATGTTGACCACATCATTTACGTCAGTTCTTCTTCGTAGGTCTTCATTTCTTATAGGGTTACACCCAGCATCGACCTCTCCATCTTTCTTTGCGTTACTTTGAGCCTCCTGGTAATGGCCACCGTTAATGTTAAAGTTTCGGAATCGTATGTCATAACCAAAGGAGGAAGCACGCATTGATTGAAAGCCTTTCTTTTCAAATATACAGGAATATCGCCCATGAAGATGTCTCTAAGTTTCCCGTAGGCTGCCCATGCGAGTATCATATCATATCCTTCTGATTAGTTCGCTTGTTTGATTATTATCTCTCGATATACGAACTTCATGGCCAAGATATATTGAGTTTACAATGAGTTTCCATAAAGATAAAACCTTATAGAGATACTGCTTCGGTCGCAAATGACCTCGGCTTGAAGATACTACATCGCAACCTTGTTATACACATAGCTACTGTATATTAACGTAAGGAAGACGTATTTTGCTGATTATAAAGTTGTGAAGCAGAGGTCGCTTGCGGGCGTGGCGCTACAATGAGGTTCCATAAAGATGAAACCTTATAGAGCTTCTGCCTCAGTCGCAAGCGACCTCGGCTTGAAGATATAACCTCGAAAACTTTTTTATATAAACTGCAACTGCAAGCTAAGGCAAAGGAAACTATATTTTTAATGTTTATTAGACTTTATAGCTGAAGACGCTTGCGGGCGAGGCGCTACAATGAGGTTCCATAAAGATAAAACCTTATAGAGATACTGCCTACTATATATTAATGTAAGGAAAACGTATTTTTGCTGATTATAAAGTTATGAAGCAGAGGTCGCTTACGGGCGAGACACTACAATGAAGCTCCATTAACAAAAAACGTTATAGAGCTATTTGGAAAAATTATTTCCAAAATCTATTAAGCATAGAAACTGATTTTGAAATAGAAAGCAGTCCGTCACACCAAAAAAAGGAACCTATATTAATCAGTGAGGTTCAAAACGGAATCACTGCGTCAAAACATGGAAAAGTATCCGTGATTAATGGCATACCATCGAAACTATTCAAGATATAAGTATTCATTATCACCAATATTGATGTTAGAGCTTAAAACACGATTTGTCCTAAATTTTGTTGATCAGGTTGAAGTCCAATGACTCTCTTCATTTGCTGCTTTTTTGGCCAGCTTGTCCACCTTCTCATTGCCCTCAATGTTGTTGTGACCTTTAATCCATTATAAGGTAACATCATTGCACAAAAAATCAAGGCTAACGAGGCATTACATACCCAAAATTTACTACTTCTGCCAAAATTTAGCAAACATAAAAAATAAGATTAAATGTGTATCTTAGAATTTTTTCGCCTCTTCTTATTGTTAATCTCTTCCGAGATTAGTTTATTATTAACTGACCTATCATAATAAATCTTTTCTTTCCTTAATAGTTGTGTAGATAATTTCTTTATGCCTTCCCCTCCTTACTATCATTATTTCTATTAATACTCATAATATTCATCAATTAGTTAATTCTATTTCTTGGAATTCTTGGATTATGTCATAGTTTTCGGTCATAGTAATAAACAATTCTATGAAACGATAATATAAGACTTTATCTCATATTCGTATACAAAATAATCCGAAAAGTTTTCGTAGCGTGTGTTGGTCTCTGGATGCGTAAACAGTTATCCACCTATTTAAAGGAAAGTTTATTTTCACTGCGCAGTCACGTTCCATGATCTATATAAGTACATCCTGTCGTAAGGACGTAGTCGTTTCGTTATGCCGAATAAGAGCGATTCGCTCGCCTTTCGCTGGACGATATTCGAAGTACGTTCCATAAATATCATAACGAATTACAAGACGTAGTCTGCCGGGTTTGTCGGACAAAGGACAAACTCAGGACGCGGGATGCGGGCGTTTGGCGTTTACGAACGGCTAAAATTAGCGCTCCCCCAAGGACTGTTAAGTCTAATAAACCCTGGAACGCTCATTCACATCCTGCCAACAAACGCTCTAACATTGCACTTGCAGGGCTCGCGTATTTTTAGGTACACGTCGTATTTGGAAACGAATGCTGTTGGCTTTGCGTAACGAATGATTAAAAACTTGGAGACCGTCGGGCAAAGAGAAATCGGGGAGTTCGAGTCCCGTTACTTCGAGAGAAAATGGACTGACTCCGAGAAGAAATTGTCGAGACCAGTTACGCAACACCGTCCGTTTACCTTCAACTTGAGTGTTGTCGTCGCTTTCTCGGACGACCAACGGAAAACCAGTTGCGTTTTTTTACAGAGTTGCCTCGCCGCGGTACTGTTGGGGATCGAGGACAACTTCGAGCGACTTCGCGTAGGTTATCTGAAGAAGAAATAGTTGTTTTTAAAGTTTGCTTAACCCTAGAAAGCTAAACTCTTCAAAAGTTACGTTAAATCTAAACTATCGTAAAATTTAACTGGAAAAAAAATTTTCTTCTAGATACAAATTTTGACATTAATGAACTGACACACTAAACTTAGAACTAGAAACATTCGAGTTTAGCCGTTTTGAGACGAGCGAAAAATCATTAAAAAGTTTCTGGACATCTTTAAAAATCGGCTGGAAATCTTTATCACTATCTAGAAAGCATTTAAACACTATTTGATAATTATAGAGACCATTAGAAAGCTTCTGCACACTTTTGGACATCTTGTCCAAAAAAAAAAGTTTATTACTAGAAGTAGAACTAACACTAGAACTAGAAACTTTCTAGTTCTAGGTCTAGTGTTAGTTTTATTTGTTATTCAGTGCCAGATTGCTATATATCTTTATTGAACTCGTAATTTTTACGATAGTTTAGATTTCTAAACTGTTCAAAAGTGACTT